ACGTGGACTTTGGCACTTATAACTAAGTAAGATGGAACATAGATGTCATGCACCTTTTTTTTGCTCCGTGCCCTCTACCCGCCTCCTTTAGCAGGAGGTACTGGCCTTTTGCCGTGGACACTGTAGTCTTCAATGTCATTCTAAGTGCCAGACACACAAGCATGAATTTAGATAAATTCAATCCACGAGTTTTGCCCTCCTGAATGCTTCAGATGCCTTTTATTCTCGCTATAAAGGCGAAGGAGCCAAAAAACGACACCTCATTTTAATAAACTCATTTCAACTATCATCACTCTTGCCACATGACGAGAATGACAACTAACAAGCTTCGAGGAAAAAGAGGCTATCGATGGGTGCAGTGAGAGGCGAAAGAATTGACGGCACTCCTTGCACCCAATGCATCGTAGCTCTCGATCAGCCGCCCTTCTCTCTGTATCGCAGTTTTGTAAGTAGTAATCAACAGATTTCCGCCGCACTTGTTTTTGCATTCCATCAGGACCTCGACCATCGCTGATATCCGTCCCTCTTTAAACTTACCTCTCCTCCTTTCCTTCCAAGAAGAAATTGCACTTTGTCCTCTCGTCCCCAATCATGAGTAGTGAAGGCAAAAAAACATCAGCTTTGCTAGATTTAAAGTGCATCACAATGAACTGGCCCTTTTTAAGCGCAAGTACTTCTTACATTTGTGGGCGTGGATTTTTTAAATTTCTTTTCAACATTGCGCACTTTGTGCCCTTCGGTCCCAGTTAACCACGGAGACGCGTCTCTTGGAGGTTGGTAGAAAAACACGATACGCGTTTTCCCATGGAAGCAGGGCGGAAAGCATAAGAAAGTGGAAAAGGGGAAATTACAGCATAAGCATACCAATTCCCACAGTTATAAAAATTTTAAAAAAGGGGTGCAAAGATTACATGCGAATAGCATTGGGAGGACAAAATGAAGGGAAGTATTGCATGAATAACCGTGTCAGACTCCTACAAAGGAAGAGAATGCGAAAAAAGAAAGGTGGACAATGGAAGAAATGTAAAACGATGGTCAGCTAAGCAAAAGAGCGTCCGCATGGGTCGCCAGTGAGCTGTACAAATGACAGATTTTGGCAATTTCTCAGTGCATCTCAAAAACAGGAAGGTGACAATCTTACAGCAAACAAATAATGTTGTAAAGGAGGAACTTCGGATTCTAAAGCCCAATTATTCCTGTCGTGCATAGCATAATTAAAATGAGAGGAATGTGGGCGTCCCTTTAATCCAGTCTGCAGCGGCACACCTGCGGGTTCACCCCTTTCTGTTCTTGCCTCCCAGATGGCACTTCTTTTGGCAAGTTCCATAAGATGATTTAATTAATCACCATGCCTCCCTCCAAATTCTGCCACCTTACTTTTGGCAGCTCCTACTTGGTCTGAAGCATGAAAACACTAAAGTAGGGCTTCTTAACCCCTCTGCCTTCTAGGCACATCACTCAAGCAGCAGCGACGCCATCTGGTGCAAACCATGCAATACTTTTGAAAAATAAAGTCTACGACTTCTAGCCAGAATGCAGCAACAAGGAGTAGCATAAATAGGGGGAGGAGCGATGGACAACTCAATGCATAAACGGTCCATTCTGATCCTAAGCTGAAGAGCGAATCGCAGAGACAAAGGCTCCAACTCGGATAAATGCGAAAATGAAGTTGGAATGCATCGCCGGGAAACAATTATTGCTGTCAACTTTATTATCCACCTTGTGCATCCACAGCCTTCGAGCAAGTTATAGGAAGGGAGGAAAGGTGGCGCAGTAAGCGAATCTACTCGAGACAGTAGTTGAAAAACGCTTAATTGCTTCATCCCTTGAGTACACTTCAAGCTTTGAGAAGACCAACTGTTGGGATGTCACGCGCAACGTCGACGGGAGTGATCAAAGCATCCAATTGCCCCATTTATAATTTCATTTTCTTCTTTGTGTTAAAGACATTCGTCTCATCCTTCTCTTGCATGACAAGTGCAATTGGTTTCATGTCAACTGCATCGTTACCTTTATGAGTAGACGTTCCAAAGCCGCAACACCTAAGAACTAAGTACAATAAAAAGGGTTTCAGATGAGAGAAGCGATCTTTGCAACAACCTTTCGTCTAATACATGTGACGCAGCAACAAGCTCATAATCATTTACAGTGCCGGTTGCGGTGATCGGCGTTGGTGTCACCACAGTCCGCGGTCGAAATAGTAATCGACTCAGCTACT